GCAGCTGCAGCAGCCGTGGCGGCAGCAGCAGCGGCAGCCAAGCCTTCGGACAGCAGCGGCGGCGGCAGTGGAGGCGGCGTGGGGAGCCCAGGTGCACAGGGTGCTAAGTACCCGGAGCACAACCCCGCCATCCTGCTAATGGGCTCAGCCAACGGCGGGCCCGTGGTCAAAACTGACTCGCAGCAGCCCCTCGTTTGGCCCGCCTGGGTCTACTGCACGCGCTACTCGGATCGTCCGTCCTCCGGTGAGTACCCAGCCCCAGGCTGCGCCTTGCCTTTCGGCCCGCGGACGCCCCCTGAACTCTCAGCTACCGTGCTGGGGAGAGCGTGCCGGGTCTCGGGCGCTCTCATCTCTCACTCCTGCCTCCTCCTCCTTATCCCCGGTCACAGTCACAATTGAGTATTGCCCACAGTTCTGCGCTCCTGGACTCTGCGGCCACCACCCTGGAGGCTACAGCTCATGGCAAGGGAAGCTCTCTCGATCCTTCGGTTTTGAACTCCGAGCCCTTCTGGCCTTTGTGTTTTATCTTTGTTATTCTCAGGAAAGACAATCAGTCACTGATTTTTCTTCCAGGGAAAGGGGTGTTTAGGACCTGCAGGAAGGTGGGCCTACTGATCTGGGTGTGAAATCCCGCCAGCCTGGTCCTGCGGAGGCCGAAATCGAGCGAGGCGTTGATTAGGGAAATAATCTTCACTTTGTGTTCTTACAGACAGAAACACCATCTTAGTATTTTCCTTAGAGGGCTCATTTGTATAGAGATAAATTTAAGGGAACGACAGGAAGAGAGAAACGCGGAGGATCGCTGTCCTTCTTCCCCAGGCCGGGTAGCCAAGAGAGTCTGACCCGGGTGGGTAGAATCCAGGGCAAGGCGGTTGCGGAAACCGTGGATGATGAGAGCCCCTGGCTCATGGTTCTCTGGAGCTGACAAACAGTGGGAGAGAAGACAGGTCAGACAGGCTCCAGCCAGAAAGCTGGGCCGAGAGCATCAGAGCCAGCCCCCTCCACGGCTCGGCGGCAAGGCTCGCACATCTTCCCGGCCCTGCCCTTCCTTCTTTCACTCTTTCCTTTCTCACATCTGCTAGTTAGCAGATTTCTGCCAGCCGGGGGCCCGTTTTTCTCCGATTTTCCTTTTGCCCTTTCCCCGCATGTCTCTTGCGCTTGGAGAACCCAAGGCCGAGACCTGCCCTGGAAGAGCCGCTAGGCCCCGAGAGAGGAGGCTATGGCCTGCCTCCCTCCCCAGACGGCAGCTCCTGGGAGGCCGATGGGCGCCGCGAGGAGAGCGACAGGGGTTCTGGCCTATGATTGGGGTTCCGGGCGCCCGGGTCCTGCAGGAGGCCGGGCACAGCGTGGCGGTGCGCGGCTCTGCTCCGGCTGATCTTCAGCCTCCCCGCCGCTGCCGGCCGGGCCCGGATCGATGCGCGCTATCAGCCCCCGCCATCTCGAGCCCCGTTATTGACACGTCGGGCTCCCTGAACCTCCGAAAAGCTGCTTTGATTGACTCGCCTGATGGATAGAGTGATTGAGCTGTCAGGCCGTGTGGCTCGAGCTGGCTGGGAGGCTGAGATTTTATTACAAGTGTTCGTGCCTCTGCGCCCGCGCACGCACACACACACACAACAACAGCAACAACACTCTAACAACGTCCCGGACGCACAACGCGCAGCGGGGCCTTTCTGAGGATGTGCACATTTCCTGGGCCATCTCTGCTCACTCAGCTAATTACTAATCCAAACCAAGGCCTTCCTCCCACCCCACCCCGCCTCCCAGGGCTTTCTGCACCGTGCTCAGGAGTGGGCCTTGTCTTTGTTCTTGGCTGCTTTCCTGCTTAGGGGCCTGGGAGGCAGGGTGCCGGCTCCTTCTCCTGCATGGGCAGTTCAGGGAGATGAACCTCCACTGAGACCTGAGTCAGCCAGGCCTGGACTCTTTTGTCATAGGACAGCTGGTGACCCCAGGCGCTGGCCTGCCCCAGGAGCCAACTGCCCAGCTTGCCCCTCTGTCCTAGCTTTGGAGATGCTGGTGAAGACCCTTCTTTCCAGACAGTGGTAGAGATGAAGCCACGAGATTCACTTGGCTCAGGAAGCTCCCACAACCATGACGAGGCCCAGCAAGTAAATGCCATGAGGCTTGGGTGTGGAGGCTGATGGGCAGAGGCACAGGCCTTTCAGGCTGCCTCCTTTCTCTCCCGTCTCTTCAGGGCTGGGCCCCCTAGCAGCCCTCTTGCCAGACTAGGCTCTGTGGAAGACTTCACTTTCCTGGGAAGGTTTCCTGTGGCCTCTTCCTATACCCATCTTAGGGGCAAAGCACCAATTTTTGTCGGGGTTGTCTGATTCTCCCTGATCCTCTGCCCCTAGTTTGCTCACAGATTGTGGAGAGAAGAGATGCAGTCTCCTTGCAAATGTCATAGGTGGGCAGCGAATGCCATAGGTGGTCTGGCTTGCTTTTGTTATCAGTTTTCAATCCTGAAATTGCAACTTCTGTGTCCTAAAGAAAGATAAGGAAGACCTGTCTGTGCCACTGGCCTGAGGAATAAGGAGGGCCCTCTCTTTCTTATGGGCACCATCCAAGGGGCAAAGCAGAGAACACAGAGGCCAGGACATGTGGGTAAAGCATACAATTGAATGATGGCCCTTTCTTCCCTTTCAGGGAAGCTGTGGTCAGTGTCTTCCTGCTATCCTATAAAGAGTTTCATTTAGGTCAAAGGGAAAGAACAGGTAGATACTGAATACTCTGGAGCCAGGCAAGCCTTTCACTGCACCTCCTTGTCCCCTTGTTTTCTGGGGTCAATAGCTATTAAGCAGATGGAGTCTTATCGTAGGTGTCTGGGTGTAGGTACGATTTTTGAGGAAGAAGGGAGGATTCGTTTGCTGACTGGTGGTTCTCCCAGGATGAGCCTGCCCCAATCTTGAGCCTCTTTTTTATTCCAGGGCTGTGAAGGCAGCAGGCCCCTGACCGCCAACTCTGGGCTGGGCCAATGGGGCTCCAGATACCTCTCTATCTTGGACTCCGTGATTTAAGCCTGTCACACGGCTTTCCTGTTCTGAATTGGGGTGTAGGGGGGACAAACAACTGGGGCCGGTTTTCCTCCGTGGCCCTTCTGACATCCCAGAGGGGAACGCTGCGACCCCAGCAGCCAGGCGATCAATCCAGAGGCCAGCAGTCGGGAGGGAGCCGGGGGCGCAGCGGGGCCTCCACTATCGCCCCGGAAGCTCGGGGCGCAGTCCCCGCTCAGCTCTGCAATTCTCACGGCTTCCTCTGCCCTCTCCCCCCTCCCCTCTGCCCTCCGTCCCCACCCCACCCCGGCCCTCTCCGCCGCTGCAGGTCCGCGCACCAGGAAGCTGAAGAAGAAGAAGAACGAGAAGGAGGACAAGCGGCCGCGGACGGCGTTCACGGCCGAGCAGCTGCAGAGACTCAAGGCGGAGTTCCAGGCGAACCGCTACATCACCGAGCAGCGGCGGCAGACCCTGGCCCAGGAGCTCAGCCTCAACGAGTCTCAGATCAAGATCTGGTTCCAGAACAAGCGCGCCAAGATCAAGAAAGCCACGGGCATCAAGAACGGCCTGGCACTGCACCTCATGGCGCAGGGACTGTACAACCACTCTACCACCACGGTTCAGGACAAAGACGAGAGCGAGTAGCCGCCGCCGGCAGGGGCCGC